ACTGAGTTATCTTCCCAGCCCCTCTAGGCTGGTGATTTTATTGGCAAGTCAGAAATGGCTGCTTCAGAAAATGGGACATTTACACTCACATCTGAAAAAAAGTGCTGGGACAGCCCTGACAGATCTCAGCCTCTAATGGAAGATTATTCTATACTGGGAGAACATCAGGAGGACAGGTTGGAGGAGACCAGTGCGCATCGTCTGAAGTCAGCAAATAAAAGGTTACAGCCAGGTGGCTTTTGGAAGAATCTGAGTGACCATCTGGCTCACCTGATTGTCCCTTGTGCAGTTCTGACTGCTGAATTGAGAAGACTCCCACTCCTGTCTAATACACTGAGTTACATGGCATGATCATAAGTAGCTTGTTGTGGAGGCAAAAGAGCTTTGAGAGTTAGATCCCAAGTTCAAATAACACCTATGCCACCCCTTAGCTGCTGTATGACCTTGAGGGGGTAACTCCAACTTCATTATGGGTTCAGTTTCTCCATCTAGCAAGGTGTCGGCTACATTAAGGGAGAGCCCCATTTCAGCCACATGGGGGTGCTGCTACCCTCTGAGAAGCATTTCCTTGAGCAGAATGCATTCTTAGAGCACACACACACACACACACACACACACACACACACACACACACACCCTGCGCACACCTGCAAATTGAAAGATTGGGAAATTTGGAACTTTCATTCAGATAGTTGTATAATCCAATTTTTCTATAAGTTGATAGGCACAGGACTAACAGCCTGATGATTCCCAGCCCTGGAGAGGTTAGGCAAGGGACTGAGAGAACCAGGCTGGAGCCATGTTACCTGGCTGCTGATGGAGATGCCACAGGAAGTTTATAAGCCAATGTGAGCAGAGCAGTGGTGGTGAAAGTTGTCAGGAACAGCAGGGTCCCGAGGAGGACAAGGACACGTTTACTTCTGTAGAGGAGAGAGCAGAGGAGAGCACCTTTCAGTTGCCTTCACTGCAGCATGAAAGAGGTGCTACAATCCCAGGAGCCCTGGGGCCTTGCTTTCAAGGGAGCAGGGAAAGCTGGGCAGGCTGGGAGTTCCTGAACTGACTGATCTTGACTACTGACCAGCAATGAGACCGTGGACAGGACCTTGAACTTGGGTTTCGCTTCTAGACAGGGATAGTAATAGCACCCTTGCCTGCCCTGCCCAGAAGCTTATACTGTGGCTCAAAAGGAGCCGCAGTTTCTTGGGAACATTGGGAATGTTGCTTATCATCTTGGGATGCCATCTACAGAACACTATATGGACATAAGTGGTGATTGATTTAGGAGAGAAGTAAGTTATTCAAGGCAGGATGGGACACAGATGGGACACAGCCACCCACTCCAGGGAAGGGGAGGGAGAAGAGAGCAGGGATGAGAACCCAACTTCCCTTGCCACAAATGTCTAGGTGTGGGAGGCTCCTGTGGGAGCAGGGAAGAGAAGCAGGAAGGCAGGGAGACCCAAAACAAGCTAAGCTGTTGAGGTGGCTGGCCAACACTCAAGACTTCCAGAATGTAATACACCTCAGAACCATCTGAGGGGATGAATTAAAAATGTATCTCCCCAATATCTTCTGTTCCCCATGTGGCTACGCACATTAATCCCTGCACACTCAGGGGTTGTGCACAAGGGAGTCCCAGCTGTCATCCTGCAGGATTCTGCATCAAGTTAAAAGTCTGAGGACGCAGACTCTAAGTGAGGTACTGTCTGGTTACTTGGGACAGAACCAAGCAGATGGGGACTGTGAGGATCTGCTGTGACACAGAAATGTGGAACACTCATGTCTCCATTTTTTTAAAAAAGTAGATTCCCATTGTGATTCAAGAGCTTCAAGGCATTCATGCCCTTTGACCCACTAATTCCCCTCAGGATATGCATTCTGAAGAAATGCTGGAGTTTGAGACAAATGGTTGTCATGGAAATATTCATGGGAAGTTATTTATGAAAGCATAAAATTGGAAACAATCCAGGTATATAACAATGGGAGAAGGTACAACAAGTAAATTATGGTTCATTCAGGAAATTGAATGTTAGGCAGACATTTCAGTTATGTTTGCCATCAGGAAAATAATACAGTAAAACTGTTTTTAAAAGATGTGGAGTAGCATGCTGTCATCTTTTTAAAAAACTAGGCAGAAAAAAAAAATCAGAAAGACAGCATCAGGGCCTTAACAGTGAACCTAGTTTGCCATGAGTGATGGACTGGGGTGGATATTTTCCTTTCTCTTAATCCTAATGTTTCCTAAATTGAACACATATTTTAACAAGAAAGAATAATAAATTTGTTCTTAAAGTGGCACACTGTAAATCTCCCTGTGAATTATTGAGACTGTAAAGTGTTCCCAAAACTACCACAATTAAGGTGATAGATACAGCTATGGGGCACAGGTACATTGATACATTGCTAAGGGCACTGTAAATTACTTCCCTCTTTCCAGGGAGCAATTTCCCAGTATGTAACAAACACTTAGGAATCATTGCCACCCTTTGACCTGGTAATTCCACATAGAAATATGTCCCTGTGGAAATAGCTACAGGGAAAAGAAAGTGTTCCAACGCAGTCATCACAGTGCCATTTACAATCGTGACAAATTGGGCACCATCCAGATACTCAACCATAAAAAATGGAATATAAATCCTGCAACTGACAGGTATGTGAGCTGTGTCAATATGTGGATATGTTTATGTGAGCAGCTGGGATGGAAAATGCTGAGCACTGGGTATCACACACTCTGGTGATAAATCTGGGGAAATGCACTGATTTATGCAGTGCTAGAAGAGGACATGGAAGCCGGGCAGTAGAGGGAGTGGTGCCTCCATCTCTAGAAAGTTGATTTCCTAGATTTTTAAAAAGCTGCTTTCTACAAAGCTGGAACATCTCTGAGAGTTCCTGGCCAAAGGACACATGGTGGGGGCGTGGGGGATCTCAGACCCACTTTCCACGGACGAAGAAGACCAACGGTGTCAGGAGGTGGAACTGGAAGTCGCTGGTGTGGTACCAAGTCCAGCCATTGCACTGGGAAAAAAAGGAGAAGTAAGTGTGGCTCCGCCCTTCCAGGTAGCAGCGCTGTTGGGTGTCTGCTGTTTGGCCTGTGAGGGAGAGTTGAGCAGGCGGCTTCCATGGGAAAAGGAACTAGACAGCCTCCATCCATCCTCAGATAGGTCTTTGGACTGAGCCTGATGACAGATCTTGTGGACATTCAGACACACTTCTCTCTTGTTTCTAAAAACCAACATAGCTTGTCTCCCAGGACAGCCATGGGAACTGACCGGGGTCAAGATTCAAGAATGCAGGAGGTGGCTGTCCCTATGGTGTGACTGGAATTCCAAGAAGCCAGTGAGGTTTTCTCCCTTGCCTGGTTCCCACCCCCAACTCTAGGTGGAGAAATTGTGTCCTTTTGAAAGCAAGTATTTGGCTCACACTCAGCGTTCCCAGTAGAACTCACATGGATGCCTGGCCAAAGCCACAGGGGACCACCCGCTCTCCATGCTTGTGGTAGATGAAGCCGGCCATTGTCGACATGTTTTGTCTCACATAAAGAAATTCCTAGGGATGATTTTCCTGTCACTTTGGGTCCCTGGGCCCAAAGGAAGTCAAACTTCCTCAAATAGAAGGAAGCACTGTCACAGTTAAAAAGATAACTTTGCCATGGAGAAAGTATGAATGGTCAGGTTTGAGGACCATTGCCCAAGCTAGTGTGCATCCAGGAAAATGGCCCCACCTGTCTCCTGGGACCCTATCACAGATATGCCCTCACCTGCAAGAGATCAGCATGGAGGATGTCCTGTCAAAGCTGCTGGGATTGGCAATCTCATTAAACGAGTGGTTATGGCAAAAATTAGGACCTGCTATTCAGTTCATAGGAAGACTTGAGGACATGACTGAGTTATAGCTACCTCATTTTCTTTCACTCCAAGATCATTATTATCCTGTTAGGTTTGCATTGTTGTTTTGTCAACTTGATACAAGCCCAGCATCTTCTGGGAAAAAGGAACTTTAAACTGAGGAAATGTCTACATCACATTGGCCTATAGGCAAGACTGGGAACATTATTTTAAAGATTTATTTATTTTATGTATCTGAGTGCTCTATCTGCATGTACACCTGCATGGTAGAAGACAGCGTCAGATGCCATTATAGATGGTTGTGAGCCATCATGTGTTTGCTGGAATTGAACTTTATGAAACTTTTTTTAATTAATTAACTTTTTATTACATATGCAGTGTTCTACCTGCATATACATCTGCAGGCCAGAAGAGGGCACAAGACCTCATTATAGATGGTCTTGAGCCACCATGTGATTACTGGGAATTGAACTCAGGACCTCTAGAAGAGCAGCCAGTGCTCTTAACCTCTGAGCTATCTCTCCCATCCCAGCCAATGCTCTTAAGTACTGAGCCATCTCTCCAGCCTGGGAAATATTTTCATGATTGATAACTGCTGTGGGAGGAACCAGTCCCACTGTGGGTGGTGCCACCCTTAGGCAGGTGGTCCTGGGTTATATAAGAAAACAGACTGAGAAAGTAATGATGAACAACCAAGCCTCCTTGGTCTCTGTTTTGACTCCTACCTTGAGAATCTACCCTGATTTCTCTATCAGTGATGGACTGTGACCCAGGATGTCTAAGCCAAATAAACCCATTTCTTCTGAGGTTGTTTTTGGTCATGGTGTTTTAACACAACAATAGAAAGCAAACTGAAACAATGATGAAGATTTGGCTTATGTAGGAATACATCTGGTAGCTCTGAACCAGCTCTGTCCAGACTGGATTGAAATTTATTTAGAGTTCACCAAGGTGGTGTGTGGGTGAGGCATGGCTGTAATGTTTCACCCCAGCATAGGCTCCCTGTGTGAAGGCAAAGGAACTGTCCTTTCTGGTATGGTGACCTGGACTGCTTGAGGAGCATTGGTGGAGAGGGGAGCTGTCCTGAGACCCAGACAGTCCACCCAAACTGCACCCCTTTCTTGCATTATAACAAGGACCCCTACATCAACTGGTGCGGTGTCCCCAAAACCCATGGAGAAGGAGCTTAGGTTGGTCCTTGGGAAACGGGCCAGACCACGTGACTGAGATGCCCTGTGTCCACCAATATGCCCTCACAAATCTGCTGTTGGGAACTCACGGCATTCTGAACAGACACGAAGTTATTCAGCAGCAGCAGATTCGTCCACCAGACTTGCCGGCAGTTATCCCAGTGGAACTGTGGAACTTCCCAGACAGGTCCCCAGGGGACAAAAGAGAAGAGTCCAACCAGCAAGCACACTGAGCACAGAAGAAGAAGCAGCAAGCTGACAGAGAGATATGGGAGAGAAGATGACGCCAAGAGGGTGTCACGCCCGCACCTCCGTGCACGCACGGAAAGCGGGAGGGATGCTATAAGAAACCTATGACACAGGTGGGCAGCCTCAAGGGCCCACACGTGCTAAGCTGCCTACCACGTGCTGCTGCAAAGGCAAAAGTACTGCTGCTGGCTGAAAAAGCCATTTATGTCACCACTGAAATGGAAGCTTTTGGGGAACTCCTAAAACTAGAGATAATCCTGTCAGGTAGCTCTTACCCCATCTCAAATTACAGCCCAGAGAAGTAAGGGTGACTCATCACTCATCGTAAGATGTTCAGGTTCTTCCCATGTGCCCCGTGAGACAGAAACTTCTTTCCTCCTCCTCCTTCCTTCCTTCTTTGCTGTACACTTTTCATCCTTCCAAGCAGGATTTCACACAACTACAGACTGATGATTAATACACAGGGTCCAGGACTGGGTGCGTGGCCCAGTTGGTGGAGTCCTTTCCTGGCATGCACAAAGCCCTGGGGTTTGATCCCTGGCACGACATAAACTGGATATGTTATATTAGTACATGCCTATGATCCCACAACTCAGCAAGTGGTAGCAGGATCACAAGTTCAAGACTATCCTCAACTACACTGTGAGAGAGAGGTCAGTCTGGACTATGTGAGACCCTGTCCAAATAAAGAAATAAAGAAAAGTAAAATATATACATATACATATATATATATATATATATATATATATATATATGCCACAGGAAGTTGACTGAAAAACTGGGGGTATCCTGAGCATACAAAATCTCAAATCCTGCCCTCAACAGTGACACACTTCCTCCAACAAGCCATACCCACGCCAGCAAAGCCACACCTCCTAAAAGCGCCACTCCCTATGAGTTTATGGGGGCCAATTGTGTTCAATCTACCACATGCACAGTCTAGATCACTGGGGTGCAAAAGAAATAGAATAAGCCAATCTGCCACTCATTAGGCATTTCCCAGTTGCTGCTCTTTTAAAATTAAAAAAATTAACTACAAAGAACTTTAATACTGTTTCTTTAGCCTGATAGACTCAAAATATGATCATTTAAAACATATTAACCAACATAAAATTAACAAGCTAGCTGCTTCTTTGACTATAGCTTTAGGAACCAGCATGTTCTTTACATATATAGTACCTCTCAATTGACCACTCTGTCCACTGACTGCAGCTGGGACTGCATATATGGGAAGTTGGAAGATAAGACATGGTTGGAAGGGGTGCAAAGTTGTGGCATGGTGATAGGGCTAAAGTCACAGCCCTTCTGGTTGGTTGGCTGGATTTTGCCGGCAGACTCTTTTTTATATATTTCAGGATGGTCTCAAACTCTTGATCCTCCTGCCTCTGCCTTCCTTGTACTGTGATTTCAGACATGCATCACCATGCCCCACAGAAGCCCTCTTTTGGGGTGTTTCATTTTTCTTGTGTGTGAGGTACACATGTGTGTATATGTATGTTTTTGTATGTGTGTGGCCACATGGGAATCAGGGCTATATGCACTTGTAAGATTAGACATGTGGAGACCCAAGATTGTAGGGGAATTATCCTTTATCACTCTTCCACCTTATTCATTGAGACAAGGTATCTCACCAAAATCCAGAGCTTACTGATATGGC